GAAACTGGAAAAATATGGTTTCAGGGAGATAGTATTGGACTGGATAAAAAGTTATTATCAAATAGGTAACAATTTGTACAAATAAATCGGTATAAATCAGGACTAAGGAATATACTATGTGAGGTATCTCAAGGATCAGTGTTAGGGCCTAAACCGGTCTTTATTGTACGTAAATGGCATTTGCAGAGTTTCACATGTATTGAAGTTTGTATTGTTTGCAGATTATGCAAATGTTTTTTGTTCTGGTGTGGAATTTCAACAGGTTTTGGATATGGTCACAAAGCAAATAAATAAATTTTAAAAGTGGTTTGATGTAAACAAACGGTCACTAAATTTAGATAAAACCAAATTTATGCTGTTTGGAAATAAAACAAGATACAATGAGGTAGATATAGTAAATATTAAATTAAATGTGTTAAGTTTGGCATTATAATATCAAGTATAAGTAAAGGATAATATGTGTAAGAGGGGTAGGGACATATATGTTTATACTTCAGCCTACTCCTTTTCAAGCATAGAAATTTAAATGGAGATTGAATGTAAATCATGTTTGATTTGTTGGTTTGAAATAAACTACAACTACTACTACTACTAGTACGGCTACACAACTCAACCACATGATGAAGCTTTTTGTGTTTTCATCGTGTCCTTGTTTATTTTTAACAACGTTTCAATAAATGTTGCACAGAAAGAGTACATTTGTGATTAGTTGATTATTTCTTTGTTGTACTTCTTGGTAGTAATCTAATCTAATATGCCAAGTGTGTTCCACCGGCTATAGATGAAACTCAACACTTGCATTAACTGTCAATGTTCCCTTGCTCTACTGGCTCTTACATATTTATGTTTCATTTTATATTTCTATGTTCATACCTTTAAAACCTTTAATACTTTTATTTATATGTCCAGACCAGACTTAGAGAGCCTTATTCATGCTTGTTTCTAGTCGGCTGGACTATTGCAATGGTCTCTCAACTGGTCTTCCTAAAAAAAAGTTGTGAAGCGACTGCAGCTTGTTCAGAATGCTGCTGCTGCTAGAGTCTCAACAAGAATTAACAGAATAAAACACATCACTCCTGTTCTTAGATCCCTACACTGGTTACCAGTAAACTACAGAATAGACTTCAAAGTGCTCCTACTAGTATATAAATCACTCAATGGCATGGGACCAAAACACATGTCCGATCTCATTCCTGTATATTCACCCAATAGGGCTCTGAGATCCCTTGGAAACAATCAGCTGGTAGGACCACGGGTCAGAACCAAACATGGTGGCGACGCTTTTAGTCACTATGCTGCTCACATATGGAATCAGCTTCCCCATGACCTCAGATGTGTCCCAACCCTAGTGTTGTTTAAAACAAAACTAAAAACCCTAATGTACTCATCAGCCTATACATGAACTGTTTATTCTGCGTCATCTCCACTGTAATCTGTGCTGTAACCTTTTCTCCTTTAGCTCTAAACTGTAATTCCATCTGTGTGTATTTTAATTTGTGTTTTTATGTGTTTTCATATCATGTCCTGATAATTGTAAAGCACACTGAATTGCCTCTGTGTTTGAAATGTGCTCTATAAAGAAAGCTGCCTTGCCTTGCCTTTACATTAGCTTACTATGAAGATGAGAGAACACGCATTTCAATTCACTTGTGTGTCTGACATTTTGTGAAGTGACAGGAAAAGACAATCTGATTTAGTGTCTGTCTCCTGACAGGATCATGACCGACAGCTTTTGGACAGGAGACAAGCTGTTGTTCAGTGTGAGTGGGAGGGGCTAAGATGTGACCAACAAGAGGAGGAGGTGCAAAGCTGTGACTATGTTTGAACCTTCCACACACTACTGGCTGTAGAAAATTGATTAATTATAAAAATGGACAATGAGTTAAATTTTCCGGATTAATGTGGGAATGTTCCATCAGTCCATCCACTGAAAATGTCCAGGGATTTTGGAACATTTTTGGGATCTTCTAAAGCTTTAAGCCATTGATGTGCAATGCTCACAAGTTCTACCTAGTAGTAAAGGTGAATAATCAGGCTTTCTAATGACATCAGATGCATTACCCAGAAACAACAGGGGAATGACTAACAAGATATTTGGGTATCAAGTCAGTGTTGTTCAGGTAAGAAGCTGTGAAGCACAATGATGATGTCAAAGTGAGGTCAGTGAGGTTAACCTCTTTGACCCTGCATGCCAGTTCGGCTCTCTGCCCTTTCTGTCCATCACAGAGGGGCTGTGTACGGGTACTGATAGCCATCACCTCAGTACAGTGCAGGATGATGTCTTGAAATGACCTATCCTGCCTGGGTTGAATCCAAACACAGACGCACACATCACGGGGCCAGACGGGACTCTGTGGCACCAATGAGGCCTCCACGGGCTCCAATTAATACTCACCCCTTCAGATCTCCTCATCTCCTTATCTTTAAGAGCTGACTGCAGATTAAATATTTATGCATCAGTGGAGAGAGAGAGGACTTCTACATGACTATCAATAATAAAAAAACATCCCACAGCTCAGAGCTGCTGCTCAGCTGGCATCGGAGCCTGATGAAAAAGGAGAAAAAATGAAAAAGCAACAACGTCCAGACGCTTTGTTCTCCCTCACAGTTTACTTGGCGGTATCATCAGATGTTTGAGACTGCAACTGGATAGCGAGCGAACAAGAGCTGCAGAGGACTCAAACCAGTGATCACTGGATAAAACCATAAGCTACCAAGGGCAAAGGCACTGTTCACAACTGAACAGGAATTTGAGCATAGAAGAAGAGAACATTTAGACATTAGTGGGTGTGTGTTGTGATTTAAGCTCCTAAATGAACAAGGTGGCCGTTTGCTGTAGAGGTTTTTTACAATTCACCACTCTGCAGCCAGAGACGACGGAGCTTCACTTTCCAGGTCTACAAACAAAAATAACTGGATGGAGTATGAGTGTGTTTTAGACGGCTAATTGATTACATATAACATCCGTGCTGTAGCCGCACACACTAGGACAGAGAAAATCCACTTAGTCCTGAGTAAACTAAAGTGACAACTGAGCTGCAGAGGACATGAATTATTCAAGAGGAAAAACTCATAACAAACAAAGGGGACAAAGTGTCTATGAGTGCTCTAAGATGTGTCCTCATTAACTGAAACAGGATACACTTCTGTGAGGATGACGCCATTTAACAAGTTCCTGACAAGGGCCTCTATTGATCAGGAGGGATCTGAGGTAACGTGATGCTGCAGCATCTCGCGGTGCAAACTACAAAAACAACTTCATATTTTGAGAATGTTCTCTGTTTTGCACATCGCAGCCTGATAAACACCCTTCTGGAGCCAACAGATCTTCCAACACACAGTGTAATAAACTACTGCTGGATATACAAGACTAGGACAACAAAAAGCATGGGAGATGACTAATCTGTGGTCTCTAGCTCCTCCTAGAGGCAACATGTGTGAATGATGTCAACACGCAGTTAAACACTGTAAAAAAAATTGTCTTAATGCAATTAAAATACTTTTTTCTTTTATTTAGTTTAAAATATTCAATGTTTCATTAAAAATCTGCCTGTAAATCATTCAGTCAAATATCTTCTTCATAAATGTAACTTCCTCAGAGTCTTTGAAGAACATTGGTGTTATTATAGCTGTCCTGCCTTCTGTAGAATAAAAGACTTCACATGAAGAGATTATTTAGTGCTGAAACCTCTGTTTATTATTATTTTAGATCAGAACGTTTTATTCTGCTCATCCAGCCACTGAGGCGTTCACTAATTGACGCCTCTCTCCTGCAGACCTGTTTCCATGTAAGCTAAAGAGGCTAATGCTAGCTCACTTCTGTTCTGATCAGTTGGTTTTGTTCCACCCTGATTAGCTAGAGGTTCTGGTGAAGAAAACTTATTTTTTCTCCTGAATCAGTTTGGATGTTCTGAACTAAACTTCAATTAAGTTCAATACTTAATTGAACAAAAGTTCAATGTGTCATTTAAAGAGCAAGTCACCTCAAATCAAAAAATAACTTTTTGATAATTAACGGTATGACTGAGTGTTTCATAGACTTGTGTGGACTTGTGTATTCATTATGTTGGCATTTCAGTGGATTCTATTTAAAAGTAAAAATTAAAGCAGGATTTTTCATTATTGAGCCCTCTTCTAGTTAAAACTCTGCGCTACATTGAATTAGTCAGTCTCAACCACGCCTCCAGCTGGCTCGGCCACTCACGAGCCGATATGAAGAGATACGGTGTAAGAAAAGAACACCGTCCTCCATTTCTGAACAAGGAAGAGAAAATCCTCCAGCATTCTGCTGTTTCTCTGTTTGCTGCTCCCACTGAGCAATGTGTGTGTGTGTGTGTGTGTGTGTGTGTGTGTGTGTGTGTGTGTGTGTGTGTGTGTGTGTGCGTGAGCGCGCGTGCGTGCATGTGTGTCTGTGTGCATGTTAACGGCTCATCTCTCTGATGGAGAAACTCAAAGTGTACAGGAGGTTGAGGGGGGATGCAGTCAGTCACTGCCCCAGCGTCGCTCTCTCAGTCCACCAGGTGATGGCTCTTTTAGCTGCAATTTTTAAACAAAAAGTGAGGGTCGAGTAAGACTGGTAAGGGGGTGACTTGCTCTTTGACTTGCAGCGGAGCTCTTTACCTCAGTCCACGAGAAAACTTTCAAAAATTAGGTCTCCCTTGGTAAATGCTACTGCAACGTGTGAAAAACACTTCGATTGCCAGAATCCAACAATTGACTGATCCCATCAACATAATAATTTTACAACATTCTGCATTTTTATGGCCAATTCAATGATTCTGTGTTTCTGCATCATATAATTCATGGGACTCTACAAATGATCAAACACATCTGGAAAGTTGGATCGGGGAAATAAAAGCTGGAAACAACCAAAAATGTAAAATTCTGATTGTTTTGCATTAGATCACAGTTGACAAACCCAGGCCCTGGAACCATATTGGGCCCCGATGCATTTATAATTACTGTGAAAGACTCATGGCAGTATGTTGTGGTTTACCTACCTTGTAAGAAGGCAGGAAGCAGAGTACTCCCTTAGCTATAACCTGGCAGACCTGAAGAAGCAAGTCACCCACTTCATCCTGAAAGGCAAATGTTTCAGCTTGCTGAAAGGTAGCCTGGAGTTTTCGACCACTTGGTCCTGATCCAACAGTACCCACCCAAACCTGAGGAGAACAGAAATATGAGGGTGATGCTCTACTTTGATTAGAATCCTGTTTTATCCATAACACAAGTCATCAAACCAAGTTCAAGTCTTCAAAGCTACAGTACATTTACTCTGTAAGATTTCTGATAGAGGACGGCCGATATATCGGCCGGCTGAAAAATAAAAAATGTTTCTATATCGGCCATCAGTCGAAATTATTTTTAAAAGCCGATAGAAATTAAAAATCAGGCACCTGTGTGGCCAACTGCTGCTGTTGGTACAGGATCTGCTCGGGGTCCTTCGACTGCCGATGACGTCAAAGTACGGCAAACCCACTCAGACAAAATACACTACACATCTATACTGTTGGAAAGAATTTAGCTGTTTCATTATTAAAATAATGTTTCTTACGACGTAAGTTTGTGTTTATAATGGTATTTGTAAAATAAAACACTATATTTTATTCATAATGTTGAACTCCTCTCTGAGCACATCCCTTGAAGGATCATTGGTATTAGCAACACCTGTGAAATTGTATTTGCAGGAAAGAAGTGTGTCCCGTTTATTGAAGTATTTTGTGTTTAGTTTTTGACGTCTTGTCCATGCGTAGTTCAGTTACGCTCATAGCTGCTAGCCAAAACTCTGGAGTTAAAAGTTTTCTGGCTTTACTAAAATACCTGTCTGTACTTATTTGATTGATGGTAGTTTTACTTTCTATTAGACTCCAAATGTAATCATTTGGCACGCTTTTAATTCATAATTTGTAAGAATGTAATCGGTGATATTAGCATTAGCATTCCTACGGGTTTTTCCATGTATATTAGCATCACGCTAACCAGTCGCTGCCAAATTGAAGCCTTTGCGATTAGAAAATCTTCTTTTGTCACATCGCAATTTAATTGCACATGCAGTTAATCGTTCAGCCCTAATATACATGCAGCTCTATGCTAAAAGTGTATTTTCAAAGAGGTAATGATGGATTTCTTTGTAAAAGTTGTCCATCTTTCCAACAGAAAGATTTGCCTGGACCAACATAACGTGACAACAACATAACGTGATTACGTAACTTCCGTAAGGTCATGTTCAGCCAATCAACTACTTTGACATCATCTGCAGTCGAAGGACCCCGAGCCGATCTTGCACCCGAGCAGATCCTGTTCCACTACAGACACCGCCACTACCACACTGAAGAAAGAACTCAAAGGACCCAAACACAGGTTTTTTTTCATGTTTTGAGTTGGTTTTATATTTCAAGTTCAATAAATATTAAAAGATTTAATGACTTATTTAATTTATATTGACAAAAACGGTGAATGTTCCGTTGTCTTTCACAATCAATGTGCTGCTAAAACGTATATATATCGGCCTTAACGATCGGCTTTTGATATCGGCAAAAATAAATTCTTTTAAAAAACGGTATCGCATCGGCCTTAAAAAACACATATCGGTCACCCACTCATCTCTGACATTAAATCTGCTGGTTAGGTTCTTTAAAAATTTAGTTTTCTCTTTGCTCTTAAAAGAGCAAGTCCCCCCTACCAGAGTCTTGCTCCAATTCCTGTTTGAAAAATGCGCCACAAGGAGCCATTGCCTGGCAGACCAAGAGGGCGGAGCTGCTAACAAATACACACACAGGCTTCAGACATCATATGGTATAAGCTAACGTCATAGGGTACCTCTTAGTCAGTAGCGATGGCAGATTTGAATTCAAATGGAGTGCAGAGATTTTACCTGAAGAGGGCGCAACACTGACAGTTTTAGGCAGAATATTTTAATTTTAACTAAGATGCACTAAGAAGTGTCAAATTATTAACTTCACGTGTCTACAGCACGATTTGACACCATAGTTTATCAGCAAATAAAGTTGGTTTGGGGGTGACGTGCTCTTTTAAGTTTTTATCTAGACTTTGTGCGTCTCCAGACTCGAACTTGTGTTGAAGATTATTGGAATGTCAAGGCTAGGGATGGGTACTGTAATCAGTACTTTTTAAGGCACTGACCGAACTCCGTGGTACCGACCAAGAAATGATTCATGTGGTATGAAAAAGTGTCTTGTTTCGGTACCATAGAGTTCAGTACCTGATTTCCCAAGATGGACAGCAGTGCATGCGCAAGAGCGTCATGTCATCAGTCGCTGGCAGCCAGCTGTAAACACAGCAAGCAGCATGGTAGAAAGACCACGCTCGAAAGTTTGGGTCCACTTCACTAAATGCCATGGGTGACTGGGGGATGATGAACACATTAACATTTTAAGTGAGCTATCATTGTCTTAATCTGCTCCAGCAGGTAAATAAACTGTTTAAGTTAATGATAGCTTGATATTTTAGCTTCCATTGTTATCAGCTAATGGTACGTTCACTTCCTCCTCGTAACTCAAAAAATCCGACTTCTGAGTAGGAAAAAAATACTGTTTGAAAATGAAGGACAAAAAAACTAAAGATACGCAGTAAATTTTGTTCACAGCAAAGATTTTTGCTTCTGTTTAATTTGAATTTTTAATATTACAAGGACCCACTCATCAATCAATTTGTCCAGAGTGGAAAGGAAAGAAATAATAATAATAATAATGCATTGAACTTATATAGCACTTTTCAAGACACCCAAAGATGCTTTCACACACTCTCACATTCACACACTGCTAGTGATGGTAAGCTACTTGTAGCCACAGCCGCCCTGGGGAGGTCTGACAGAGGTGAGGCTGCCATTTGGCGCCGTCGGCCCCTCTGACCACCACTAACACAGGCAAGTTGGGTGAAGTGTCTTGCCCAAGGACACAACAGCAGGATACCCCTGGCAGGAGCTGGAATCGAACCCATGACCCTCCGATCAGGAGGCAACCCGCTCTACCACCTGAGCTACTGCTGCCCCAAATAGTACATGGAGCTGGGTTTTTGTGAAACACCACAATATTAAAATACACTGAAGAAAAATATAAATGCAACACTTAAGATTTTGCTTCCATTTTTCATGAGCTGAGGTCAAACATCTGAAATTTTTCTACAAGCCCCAAACACCCATGATTGTCAAATCTTTACATGTGTGTGAGCACTTTTCCTTTACCAAGATAATCCATCACACCTCACAGGTGTAGCAGATAAAGGTGCTGATTAGACAGCGTGAACAATGTACAGGTGTGCCTTAGACTGCCCACAATAAAAGGACACCCTGACATGTGCAGTTTGATCAAACAGCACAATGCTACAGACGTCACAACCTTTGAGGGAACGTGCAATTGGCATGCTGACTGCAGGGATGTCTAACAGAGCTGTTGCCTGTAAAATTATTGCTCATTACTCTACCAAAAGCCATTTCCAAAGGCATTTCAGAGAATTTGGCAGTACATCGAACCAGTCACCACGTGTGACCACACCAGCCCAGGACCTTCACATCCAGCATGTTCACCTCCAGGATCGCCTGAGACCAGAGACCAGCCACCTGGAATGCTGCAGCAACAATTAGTTTGCATAACCAGAGAATTTCTGCACAAACTGTCAGAAACCGTCCCAGGGAAGCTCATCTGCATGCTCGTCATCCTCATCGGGGTCTGGACCTGACTGCAGTCCGTTGTCGTAACCAACTTGAGTGGGCAAACACACATTCTATGGCATTTGGCCCGTTGGAGAGGTGTTCTGTTCAAAGATGAGTCCCGGTTTTCACTGTTCAGGGCAGATGGCAGACTGCGTGTGTGGCACCGTGTGGGTGAGCGGTTTGTTGATGTCAACGTTGTGGAACGAGTGGCCCATGGTGGAGGTGGGGTACTGGTATGGGCAGGCACATGTTATGGACACACAGGTATATTTTACTGATGGAATTTTAAATGCACAGAGGTAGGCCTGGGCGATATGGCAAAAAGAATGATCATGATATATTTTTCCATATCGTTCGATCTCGATTTTAATCACGATTAATTTTTATATAGTCAGTTTAAAGCAGCTTAAAATGTAAAAATAAAGAAACTAGATATTAGTTAAAGCTTTTATTGGCATTCTTTGTGTCTTTAATGCTATACAGGTACAAAATAAACAAATTATCTGCTGCATGAAACATCTTTGAGCTCTATCTCTAGCTTTTCTTTGCATTCATCATACAGCTGTGGCAGTGCAGTTTGAGAAAAATACTTTTGGCCAGGTATTTCGTACCTCTGGTCCAGCACGTTGATTAAATGCTTAAATCCTTCTTTCTCTACTGTGTTCAGAGGCATCATGTCTTTTGCTATACAAAAAGTTATAGCTTTTGTGATGGTTTTGCTTCTCTTTGAGTCCTGCTCGTACGGTGCAACAGCTGAAAATGACGAGATGATTGAGTGCTGTTTTCATTGTGCAACTGCACCGCCAGTGCCGGCTGGACCACTACTAGCAGCCGCGCTAGTGCTAAGTCTACTTTGAGACAAGCTAACAAGTTGTCCGGACTCTGCTCGCATTTTCACGCTCTCTGTATAATCACTTGGGTGGTATTTCTTTAGATGATTAAATAGATTCGTAGTGTTGCCAGTTTTTGAAGGCACCATTTGCCGACATAACTTGCATGTCGGCTTAATTTGCTCAACGTCACTTTTGAGATACCCGAACCACCGCCACACAACTGACATTGAGTAACTTTTCTTCTGAACAATGTCTTCATCTCCAGAAGACAACTCCGAGTCATGACTGGGATCTACTTCGCTGTCTTCAGCTCTACGTTTGGCCATTCTGCTTATTAAACCTCTTCACTGAAGTAGCGGAGCAGGAAAAGTGTAATTGCAAATGCTTCTTCTTTTTGTTAAATGGCGGTGGGCAACCAACGCGCATGGAGGGTTAGCGCCCCCTACTGAGGCTGCAAACATCTGTTATTTCTGATCGAGACTCCCAGCTTATCACCGTAATTGAACTGAAAATGACCGTGATCACAAAGTGCGATCATATGATCGCCCAGCCCTACACAGAGGTACCATGATGAGATCCTAAGGCCCATTGTGGTGCTGTTCATCCATGACCATCACATCATGTTGCAGCATGATAACGCACGACCCCATATTCCAAG